ACACCGGGCGCGGCTATATCTCGGGCTGATTCGCGACGCTTAGGCGAGTTAACGGTATCTGTAGTGGCCATTCTCTCCTGCCAACCGTACGCATTTTTGTTTTCGTTGATCCGAGGGAGTAGAGTCTACTCGGTAGGCGCATCGAGTATCTGTTTAGAAAGCGAAATACAAGGTGTATTCGAACGCTTGGGATCCATTTCAGAGGGGTGAATTAGGGACAACCCTCTATGGGTTCTTCGCGCGCAACTGTCTGATTTCCCTTACAAACTCCTATATACATTAAGATAATGATTAGACTGCGGATCTTTATGCATTTATAGGAAATTCGAATATGCAAGAAGCTACAAAATGCAAATAATATTCAAAAATAAAAGAAAGATTGAAAGTAAAGTACATGTTATAATATTTGCAGAATAAAATAAATTCCTATATAGGTTCAATTTTTGTAGGCACGTTCGCGAATATTTTATTTTGCATAAGGATCCGCAGTCTAATAATGATTAAATAAATAAACGGGACACTAACATTTCTTCTTTTTTTCTTTTTGTGATTTCAGTCCCACAGGAAATGCGAATCCTCTCGAGGGAACACTTCAATCGATGGTATCGGTTAGCGCCATATTATATTAGTATGCTGCTAGTGGAGATACCGTTCCAAGCGTCTTGCGCGGCGACCTATTTGGCTGTGAGTTACTGGTTAACGGGCCAACCCGTGGAAACGCCTCGCATAATATCGTTCATGGTAGTCAGTATAGCCGCCAGCTTGACGGCTCAAGCTTGGGGCTTCTTCATCGGCGCGACTACGCCGGTTAAGGTACGCGCTTTATCGACCGCTCTTTTCTATTTTTAAGTCAGACAGATTCTATTATACGTTGGAGGCCCGATGACTCGGCCTCGGCCAACGATATATCGTGCTAACTACGATAGATTGTGGGGACTATAATAGATTGTGTTTATAATAGTTTGAGTCTGTAACACATTGTAAAGCCTATAAGAAGCCAATATTACTTCTTAAACTAGATAAATTCTGCAAAACAAATCTGTAACGCGTACCTTTTTCTTCTGTTTGCAGATTGCGGTGTTTGCGGGTCCTATAATCGCGGTATTGTTCTCTGTGTTTGGCTTTTGCATCCGTTACATGGACACTCCGCAAGCGTTCCGATGGATGTTCCATATATCGTACTTCCGAGCCAGCTTTCACAGTCTTCTGCACACTGTCTACGGTTTTGGTAGGATGGATCTAAAGTGCGACGATTTCTACTGCCACTACAAGAAACCCACGCAATTCCTGAAAGAGATGGACATTGCCGACACCAGCGTCGTGAACAATCTCATTTTGATCATCGGTATCGGTGTACTGATGCACCTGTTGACTGCCAGCGCGCTTTGGTGTAAACTGAACAGAAGATAAACCACCGTTACCGATCTCGGTGATCCCAGTATTGCTGTTGGCCGTTTCCGGCCGAATTCGTTAGCAAAACGGTGATGTCATCGCGGGAGTTCCTCTGGGACCTCGTACTTCATCGTAGAACGAAAAGGTTGTGACATCACTGGCGTCGCGAGCACCGCTACCAGGAACTGTAGCCACCCCACTGTAATGTCGCAATGTTCTTGTTCTCTTGTGCAACATGGAAACAGATCTATGGGTCGTTCGACTCTTTGCGGCTCAGATTTATCCAATTTAAATACAATTTTGCCGAGAAATTGAACCGCAAAGCGTTAATTTTCTGCTACTACAATTTTGACGTTAAATTTGTATCGCTTTGCTTCGTTCTATGGAAGCTCTATTTATTTAATATGAGAAAGTTTCAAAAATTTATCAACGTAGCTTGGTGCTGAAAAACTGATCCGTACTTACGAAGGAATATAAGAAGTTCTCGAACTTTTTGTTTGGAATCGAGCTTGCGCGAGACGCATAGCGTAAAGATATGTAAAAGTGGAAGGATAAATGCATGTGGCATTTTCACGTTTCTCGTGGTAACGTGATAACTTAATCGGATTATTAGTATCTACGCGTTATATTTTACTATTATCGTATCACGGTGTTATTAACTTATTTTCTTGTTCACGACGATATTTTATAAATTAAAGACTTTTGTAAATTAATGAAAGCTCCAACCCTTTTGCAGCCCAAAATGTTTGGTGTATGTTTGTCTTGTCTCGCTCGACATAAGATTGAAAAGGGTTAAATCAGCGACGTACTGTAATTCAACGTACTTCTCTATAATGTAAAGATCATAGGTATCCGCGTAGTAATTAAGAAAAAAAGCATATTTTTTTATCACTTTTTGAACTCGAATATTTTTAACTGTTTCGTGATAGCGATGATAATCGTAAAAATGCAGTTACAATATAATTAAAAATGTAATTAAAATACAACTTTGGAGGACACACCGAAATTTTGATACTGCACGAAGTGATGCGTATAAAGCTTTAAACAAAGTATGTGTCTCAGTGGATGTCTGTTTATTATTAAATACCAGCCTTCTTTTGAAACTTTGAAATTGTCACATATCTTTTGCGAGTTCCCGCTATTTTTTTTATCAAATGAATAGCCATCTAGCGGCGAATAGGTGGAACTAAAATTCTGACCTTCGTACAGCGCACCACCGGGAAAATGCCCAAGTTTGTCCTCCTCAATTAGTTCCTGCTTTCATCGCTAGATGGCGCTAGTTTCAAAGTATCATGTCGGTAAATACACGCCATCTAGCGACATAAACAGGAACTAATCGAGGACAAACTTGGGCATTTTCCCGGTGGTGCGCTGTACAGAGGTCGGAATTTTAGTTCCACCTAATTCACCGCGAGATGGCTACCGAGTTGAACAAAATTTGAAAAATTCTCCCAAGTATAAACATAATGTTCGTATTTTGGCAACGCCAATTTTCCGCGGGGAATTTGAATTGCTTTCTATTTTATTATTCAAATCAAAGTTCATTAGAAGTATTTGTGTATGGGTCGGTTCAGAAAGAAAAACACTTCTTATATGTTTATTTTTTATTGTACGCCGTATCAATCTGCCTCTACGCTTGAATACATTGTTAACTTTTTCGCTTTTTTTTTTCTAGTTTTTCCTTTTTTTATTATTATTTATTTATATCATATACAGACAGAACGCTAATACAATTCCCGCGACCTAATTCATTCAACAGGTATATAAAGTGGTCGGGGAAAGTGATAATTTCATTTTGCATAAATTACACAATTTTTAAGTTAAAACTATTATTTACTTCGTGCGCGCACGAATAATTCATTTTACGATAAATAAAATTTTCTAGGAAACGAATTTCAAGAGATCATATGAACACTATCTCGCACGACGAATGTTCCTCTACAAATGTACATACATGTCGATGGTGTTCTCGTCGAACGTTTATTTGTATCGATGATTGTAAACGCAAAAGAATAGAGGAGGTGACGGAAAAAACGTACAAACGTGTATCGCTACTTACAAGGGAAATACTCGAACCCGAAAAGTCGACTTTGAATGACACTTTATGCATACGTAGAGCTTAATGAAGTATGCAAGAAACAATTTTTGTTTTTTAGCGAAAATATATTATGAAAAGGGTGAAGTCAGTACTTAAAGTTGTCGCGTCCTACGATTGCGCAAAGTTTCGATTAAATACAAATTTCTGGATGCGAATAGTTCCATTGTTAGCACACCGTTTACAAAAACGATACAGAGTATTAATATGATTTCAAATCGTTGACGATAAAATAAGCTTGCACGAAGCTGCGTTATTGACGTCGCGTGCCACGGTCGAGTCGCTTTTTAATATTTGTTCTCTCTCGTTACAAATTTCCATAAACTAATCGATGATGAACACGTGGACAATCGAGTATGTACTACGATTTATCAGTGGTGCTTTATTTAAAAATGACTTACACGATACGCCACGTCAGAAGGATCAACAGTCGCGTTGTTGTACATCCTTGATCGTCGTGAAACGGTACACCTACGTGTTTAAATTACGAATACCCTATAAAACGTTTAAAACAACGATAACGTAAAAATCTAATAAATTAAATCGATTGATGAACAAGAATTACACTTTGTAAAATTATGTTACTTCTTATTTAGTCTGTCGTGTCTCGCGGTACAATCGTACCGATATATGATTTTATACATTGATGCTTGTTTTTTTTTTTTTTTTTTACGCATAATATATATGATTTTACAAAATATCAAAGAAAAATACAAGCAAAAGAATGAAACGTTTATCGTATCTTCGTCGATTTGCAAACCACTCCGTTACCCTTCTGAATGTGGTTTATCATCGTAACGAATATCTCTAAGATACATATCTACCGATGCTTCCCACCGAGCATGTTACAGTTAAACGTGACTCCTTTACTTGAATTTACGCAATCCAAACTTCCGAACAGTTCTCAACGTCAGATGCTTATCCGTAAAACAAAGTAAAAAATGCCATTTGGACTACACACATGGACCTGCTCGCTTAAAAACGCATAATTTCATATCCACGTTATCATGTAGATATATATAGAAATACATTTTTTGCGGACTTTATTATTTCTTTAATCCTTATCGCCAGCTGAACGGTGTCTTCAACGGGCTTGTAGAGCTTACTATGCTGTACGCGTTAACTGTTTGCGTAAATACAGGGGGGTAAGAAAACCTCTACGGTACCATTTTTTATAAGATTTTTCACGGTCTGTAATTATCTCCTAATTACGTGACGATTACGATTAAAAACTCGAATGTGGTTAATTACAACCACGAGTGGAGGGGGCGCATGTTACATCGACGACGCGGTACCCTTAATACTTTTCTTGTTTCTTTTCTTTTTTTTTCTATCCACGAGACATCGTAACATTTAAGTTATGTTCGTAACCGAAGACAACTTCGTTAATACTCTTTACAATAAGTGTGAAGCAACGAAAAATGTAAATACACAAAAAAAAAAAAAACCAAGGGAAGTGTGACACCGATAAAAATAATCGGCGTTCGTAATATTTCAAAGGAACGAAATAAAAGAATGATAAAAGGAAACGCGAAAAAGGTGGGCCAGGGGGGGGGGGTTGGACAAAGACGAAGAGAAAAGTAGAATCTGTCCGTTGGATCTTATTCTGAAACGAGTACTTTCAGATAAGTCCAAATCAAGTAGGTACTTTGTTTTCCGTTATATATTATTTACAGCGACTGAATTATTACTTGTCTCTATTAATTATTTACATCGAACCGTATATAAATTTTTTTTTTTTTAATCACAATATTTAGACTGTTTCACCTTTCTTTGCGCCTCGGATTCATCCTCCGTGCCATACAGATGATACCGGTGCTTCATTTCGGTCGCAACAGACTTTAATGAAACCAATTGAAACACAAAAATCAACGTAAGCACTCGAATTATTCGTGAATAATGGTAAAAAGAATTAGTTAAAAAAAAAAAGGTGCGACAAAAAGCGAAGAAAAAGCAAGGTGAATCGTTTTTTCTTTTTCTCTCGAACAATCAAGTATTTTTTTCTCGTAGACAAATTAGTTTAACACTAAACTCACCAGACGTGAACGCACTCTTTTTGGCATATCTTCTTGTAAGCTATAAATCTCGTTTCGCTTCAGCACGAGTTGCGATCCATCTTCGAAAATTACCTGAAAGGCGTGTAAAAAAAAATAAAAATAACGTATAAGGCTAACCGTATTCGACAAATCCACGAGCTACTCACAGTGTACATGATTCTATGATTTGTACCCTCAAAGATACCATCGTAGCAATTTCCATCTGTCCATTTTACGACTACTGCCGCCCCTTGAAGCGGTGGATTTCCAGGATCGTAATTCTATAAAAGATTAAACGGTTATAATATTTAGAACAACGACGAAAAAATTCCAAGCGTTGCGTGATTATGTGATTACCGTTATGTCTGATGGATACAGATCCTCGCTGAAACTATCGTCACTGAACGTGACCATATAAAACAGGGTGTCGTGTATGGAGTCTACTTTGGCCTTGTAATATCGCGTGTTGCGATGCTTCGCCCAAACGATCTCTCCCTGTCGAATCGTTGGAATCTTTTCTTTCCCATCGTCATGCCCGTCGCACGTTACCTAAATGCAATTTATTCGTTACTCTCGTATAGTTATTTTATACTAATCCTTTTAACCCTTGATCACACATGACATTTTTTAGGTACCTGAAGCTCCGGTGAATTGTATACTGGTATGGTGAACGTTGCGCCGGAAATGAGACCACACGATGGATGAAACAGATTACTGCACTGATTACAATTCAGACATGCTCCGTCCTTTTGCCCGCAGTAACAGCACATCTGATTAACAATCTCCGGCCTGATAGTTAACACGTTAATTGGATCCTTATTGATAGCATCTTTAAATGTGACTCCTGGTAATAGAAGGGCGCATAGTATGTGCGCCCAATTACTATCGCTGGTACGTTTCAGAGCACCGCCTCGCATGGGGCACAGACAGCACATCTGAAAAATACAAAACAGATGAGGGAATTAAGACACTTGAAGGTTTCAACGTCCAGTTTTTCATAGTTCATCCTATTAAAAGTAAAATAAATATACGGACACTTACCACCTGTGTTTTACCAGCTCTACATTTATCACACGCCCAATTTCGTAAATCCGTAGGCAATACGGTGATTCCGTAACAGGAGGCGTGAACAGTCACGTGACATTCTCTACAACGCAACAGCTTATCATTTTCCGGTTCGACGACTTGTTCCTTCGAGTTCGCTACGAAAACGCTTGCAGATACCTGGAGACATGATACGTATTTAGACATATAACAAACAGTTTGACCTGTTAAGATGTCTAACGAGACTTACCCATATCGGTGAACTCTCTGGTAACACCGTGGGCTTGCAATATTTCCAGTCTGGCGGCATTAGCCTGCCGTGTCCGTTACAACTTGAGGTGAATGGAGCGCATATCGCGCAATGGGAGATTTGAGCGCTCCAATAGTCGTTGAACGCCTTCAGTAAGTCGTTATTCGGAACGATGGGATAGAGCATGTCGGATATGTGACCAGGTATCATCGACACGCGATGGGAAACAGACGGTGGTCTGTCCATAGTGCTGGATGCGACTACATTCGAGTCGTCTGAGTTCACCCTTGTGATCGTAATCTTGGTCTCTGAATTGTCTTTTTTCCTGGTGGTAGACTTCTTCAATTTCTCTTTCGACTTTCGCCTTGACGTCGACAATTTTATGGGCTTCAGTGGGGGCATGTGAGCGTATATATTCTTTGAACTTTTCTGTGTACATTGACCTTCAGTTTCATCCATAGAGTCGACCGCGTTTGTGTGTGGCTCTGCTGGCAAGGGCGTGATGGTAACAGAGGTCTGCGAAGCCTCAAACTCGGGCGTAAAGTGATTTACACTATACTGCGTATCCATGTCGAAACCAGCTATATTCGTACTCTTAACGGCTGGGCTAAGCGCTAACGAATTATCCATGTGACACGACGCGGATTTCAAGTTATTCACGATCGTGCCTATACTTTTGTATTTTCTGCTACATGTTTTCTCCTTCTGACTCAACTGTCTCTTCAAAAGCAACTGATCTTGCGGTTTCGGTATGATCGTCACGTACGAAGAACCTTTCGGATTCGCGGTCGAAGCAGGTTTCTGCAAACATTTCTTGTTGAAGTCTATCATCATCGAAGACTGAGGATTTAGGGAGACATTCGTAGTACTTGAATTCGCGGCCAGGAAGAACGTGCTATTTTCCGATAGACCCAACGATGAGGACGAAGAGGATGACATCTGAGAAGATTCCAGATTTATAGACTGCATGTCGTCCATGGTATTGTTCTTCGGAAAGAACGAACTGTTGTTGGCGGTTCCAAATTTCCAGAATTCGTCTGCCATCATTTTTGACGTGTCGGTAGTGGATCTCTTCCCAAGGGTTCTGACGTCTGTACCAGTTCTGATGTTGTGGCAAGTCACAGACGACGTCAACGACTGACCCAATACTCCACTCTTCGCGAAGAAGCCTTCCAAGCGAGGTATCTGAATGGCGCACGGTGTTGCTGATTTCGATGATTCCAAAGACGTCAAGTCGTTTCCTAACTCCTGTGTCGGGACCTCTTTCTGGAGAATGGGTGGCTTGGAGAAGTTCAAATTCGGGTTCAGGAACATGATACTCGGATTGAGTTTGGACTCCTGAGGTTTGGCGATAGGCCATGTCTTTGGTAAAACTACTATGGTACTCGACGAAGCATCTTTCTCGTCACCCGCTGACTTATCCGATTCGATCTTAGGGGAGACTTCGGTTGCAGATATATTGTACGCTGACTTTAGAACGCTCAATCGAGGAGCTTTAATAATATCCTTTTTCGAATAGTTGGGTATAGATCTTTCCGTCAGCATTGTTCCCACACTTTTGCAGCTGGTGTAATTTGACAGCTTTGCATCTTGTATCGTGATCATCGTGTCCTTGCCGATATACTCGGACTCCACGGCTTTGTCGATCTTAATGGGCTTCACCTGATCTAAAGAAATGTTTTTCAACGCTGCTTGTTTAGCGAACTTAATTCTAGCGATGCTAGTTTTCTTGCCGCTCTTTGGGTATAACTTCGTTCGTTCAACTGTTGGAGTTTCAACGTATTTGTCTACTTCTTTTGTACCGCTATACGTAGAATTGGCGAGGTGATTACTATTCGTGACACTTTCGTTATCGTTATCATTGATGGGTGTCACGGTGAGTTCGTTACTGGTGAAGATTATATTCCCTGACAAATGAGTCGCCTTCTCCTGACTACTCGAAATATCCTTTATGGTAAAAGATTTATGAGTTATACTCGGCATAGCCATAAGTTGCCTTTGTACATTAGCGTCAGATACGTCCAAAGGTTCGCTACTGTCGAAGATAGATATATTTAAATGTTTATTCTTCTTTTTATTTGCATTCTTTGGTTTACCCTTCTTTGGTTCTCCAGACTTCGAATGCTTCTTCTTCTTTTTAACTGGTTTCTCAGTAGTCTCTGAGAAATCGGAAATTTCTTCCACTTTTATACTTTCGATGACGGCGTCGCTAGGTATCGCGATATTGGAACCACCTTGATTGTTATCTTCCAACTGACTCGTTTGCTCTGGGAATGCAGGAGACAGAAAGGTGAAGCTGTCGTCTACTTCTACTTTTATTTCAGTCTTCACTGCCACGTGCTCTGCAGCATTTTTGTTAGACTCTCTTTTAGACTTCGATTTATCGTTATTCTTTTTCTTCCGCTTCCGACTTTTTTTACGATTGTAGCCGTCATCGTATACCGAAGCCTCGTTAACATCTATAACAAAAATAATTCGTTATTAAATTAGTGGGATTTAGTTTAAAAATGAGTTATATGTAAACAAATTTTTTACCCATTTCTCCTGCCTTCAACCAAATGTCTTCTAATACTTCTAATTGCTGTTCGTCCGGTTGATCTTCTGCTTCTTCTAATTCAAGATCTTGTAAAACTTTCTTTACGTCTGGTGGAATATCGGGACGGTTCACTAGTTCCTCCATATCAACGTCCGGATTTGTAGCCATAATATTTTTCTTTTTATGTATCGTGTGCCGCTTGTTTTTCGGCGCTGCGCTTAGGTAGCTTTGCGGCAATTGGCCGTTACTGCTGTTGCTACATAGAAGATCCATCTGAGAAGGCATGGGCGCAGCTGTTTGCCTAGGATCCTCGGGATGAGGTCCGATATCTTCTCCGCGTAGCCACAATTCGTATCTATAACGCGTCATTGTTAATTAATACGCCAAGTCTTTGAGAAAGATTAGAAATCGCTTTTGTAAAAGGATCTCTTTACCTTTCTGGCTGGAAACGCTTCACGAAGGTGTCCATAGATATTTTTACCATATCTTTACTACATGTACATTGCGTAGCCCGTTTACCGTACTCTACCCATCGTGGCGCAGCAAAATTAGTAGATTCCGCACAATTGAATCCGTGATTGAAGCCAGCATGATAACCATAAGGAAAGGTGATCATTATTTCTCCAGCTTCTTGCGTTATCTAGAAGAAAACTTAACGCATTAACATCTATTCTTACATCCACAGTCTTCGTTTACATTGGATAAGCAAATTGAAACTTACTTTATTGCATGGAATAGAATATTGCCTTAATATTTGGGGAGAAATAAGAGACATTTTGTGACGCAGAAAAGCTTGGCAACTTTGATAACTCGAAGGGAAGAAACCACTGGCAAGTCTTTCTAATCTTCGCCCGTGTTCAGGTGGTATAGCATACCACGTTTTTGGAGCACCAAAATGTAAATAATTTATCGAATACAGATCCATATCCTCCGTATGCCATGCGAACGTGGTTTTCCACATTCCGAAATACAAATATGCCGTGTTAACGCCATCGATAGATATACCATAGTCTTTGTTTACATAATCAAGAATTGTTCCTAAGTGATTAATGTTCCATTCCTTCACGTCTGGATCGGTTAACGACCCGGAAACATCTGCTCCGTATATAGGCGCCACGTACGTTATATTCTTCCAATATTTCCTTTCCAAATCTTCGTAATCAAAATGACGTGGAGTGCTATAACGCTCAGAATTAGCTAACTTGCTATACTCTTTAACAGTCATCGACTTCTTTTGTATATTAATTTGCTGATAAAGACCCTGTTTGCCAGTGACCACTTGACAAATTGGAGCAGGAATAGTTAAATTCAAGTCATCTAAGTTATAACTTCCTTTCCTAGGAATCCATTCAGGAGGAGGGATTACTTTTGCTAAACCAGCTTTATGGGCTCCTTTACTCTCCATATATTCCACGTATTTTGTGAAATCCTTAAACTCCTCGTACGTAGGTCTGAAGACCTGAATGCGGGGTGTACCCCGCGAGACATTGCTAACCATTTTTACTTTATTTTTTGCACCTGAGAATTGAAGGCATAAGTTAGATTTTTCAGTTGACAGTCAAATTTAACTTGTAGTTCATAGTTGTAATAATTATGATATTGATACAATCTCTTGTATTCACAATTGTCCATAAAAACTCTAATATTCTGTTCGAAGTCATAGACATGCTGAAGATAATAATCATAGACATAGATATTTTACGATATAATTAAAATCGCAAACGGGACCTGTGACACATAACGATAAACACGAAATCAAAACACTCCGTGTAGCTATGGCGGTCACGATAATTGTTTTGTAATTGTTTTGTTGATAAAAATATTTGTCGAAAACGTAGCAGACTCACAGAAGACATCGTAATCGTTCTTCGAAACGGGTCAAATCTATCGCACGTGAATTCCATGATTTTACGAGGAACGTTTAAAAAACGAGAGAATGCGAGCGAGACGCGGATGTTTTTGGAACGAAACGTGCCGGAGGTGCATAAACAAAATGGATGGTACCTATTGTCAAGTGCCTCTTAAAATAAACTTTCCGACAGCTCTTTGCTAGTCGTCGTGAAACGAAAGAACGGGTTACAGGGAAACGGGGGAATTATCGCTATCGTTGATTTTTATCACATGTTTGTCACTTCGAGGGAGTTTTCCCATTAGAAACGATGGCTGCTCGCAACACCAAATCTCGTACTGGAAGCGATATTGACCGACACAAATTCTCGCGTTTCCATCCGCACAATACTTTACGTTAACGTCGTCGAACACGACATGTTACTTACATCGAAATTAGACGTGAAAATCACCTTTCCTGTATAAACACCATGTTCATCCAGATATTGTGAATCTCGCGATTTGACACATTCACCGCTGTACCCCGCGCGTCTCCCAAGACCAATAAAGATGGCGTTCAACGCTCTATCAGCTTTAGACGCCAGACAATTACGTATGCTCGCAAAGCGGGAAATTCGATTTTCTCTATTTAGTCACGTACGTCACTTTTTGTTGATGTTACTATAGAAATTCTGCATTAACAACGTTTTTTTTAAATCGATGGTCTTTTATGTAAAACGTTATCGTCCACAGAAGCAGACTCGATCGATTAGAATCGTGTAAATTAAGAGATGGATCGAAATCAGTTTATTTATGAAATAATAAATTCAGAATTCGTCTCGAAACTTGATAATAAATATTTAATAAGTAATAGTTCAACACTCGATAAGTGATTTTCTACAAAAAGTATGCAACTGTTTAAGATAATTTTATGATACAGACAACGCTAGATGACGCTACTAATTTCTGTGATGCAGCGACCTTCCTTGTCAATCAATCGAAACAAATTATAAATGGTTAAATATCAAGGTCATCGAGATTGGTTGTTATTTTACGAATTGTTAATCACGATCGTTCTGTGTATCAAAATTGAAATGTCAGATAACAGTATGACCGAGGCAGAGTCTGCCACAATGTTTGTGTGTCTACTAACAAATGTAAAAGGCGAGAAGCTTTAAATTTTCTTTTCTTTTTTTAGCACAAGAAGTAAAAATAATAATTTATTTCCTGTTGCTACAGTAAACAATTCTGTTGCACATGTTCGCGATTTAGATTCGTTTATAATCCGAGTACTCAGATGGTAAAAATACTTATCATTCGAACAATTACAACGATTCGATGGAACTAAAGAATTGAGAAATTAATATTTCATTGAAATTTAACATAGAAATTAATGCGACGATGGATAGAACGGTGTAGGAACATGTTATGTAGGTATGTTATGCATGTGTCATAATTGTTATTAAATATCAAGGACAGTGGGTAACCATAAAACACATTTATTTCTCGGTAATATCAATGAATTGATTAATTCGATCATTATTTAATATGCCACTAGACGAGATTAATAAGTTCTGCATTTGTTAGTTACCATATCTAGATAAGATGTTAAAGATATTAAATTGGTCTCATTGCATTGACTGTAAGCTCCATACAGATGCACTTCGATAAATTTCTTGCGATATTACAATTTACATATGCAGGTAACAGTGTTATTATACATTCGGTAAAATAATACTACGAGACGCTCTGCGGGCAACCTTGTCGAGTTGGCAAGGATTACAACGAGTTGGCAATGTAAAAAACGAGATGCACGCTATCCTCCAAGTTTGCAGCGAAGATCGTTTGTTCGAAAAAACCAATAACCGATTAAATAATTAAATTCATCTGCTCGTATAAATCCAAGGTCAAGCTTACTTAACAAAAATTCTGAAATCGAGATTTGTAAAATTGTAAAAATTATTGAAATTCGTTCGATTCGAGTTTGATTCGAGTCGACTCGAGTTTCCGATTTTGTGTTGCAGAGCGACTGCAAACAAACACGTTAGAGATAAGGCTCATGACCCAACCGCTAAAAAATAATCAACGAGACGGTGACGACGTTACTTACTGGGTATCAGCTAGCGCAATATGGCATCGAGACGGTATCCGTGGACGCGAGTTAACTTTCAACATGTGCCGGAACAAGGACGCGAGTCTAGAGGGGAGGCACTAATAGTTCAGTGTTCAGTCGTTGTCAGTCGTCGTTGAGCGTAGGAGGGTGACGGTACGCGCCGCGCGTCTCGGTGTGTCTCTTTCCCGTTCCAAGTGTCGCTAAGGCTCGTGCGGATGGTATTTATTATTTATTCTCACACGGTAAAAAAAAAAAATACGTAATTCGATCTTTTCGCGCGACTCAAGGAAATTCCGGGCAGTTTTGTCAATACCATTGATAACGAATGATTCATATAGATAAATCTATTTGAAATACACATCTATACGTGTACACACACGAAACGTCTCGATAAAATAGTAACATACTGACGGCTTGGTTTTATTACTTGATCGTTATTTGAACACGTTGCACACGTGTTACTTATCGCGAATCGATGTATCAAACCGATGGATATTTTGTAAATTGATAGCATTTTGATGAATAACCGTTTGTAAGATATATATATATATATATATATATATATAGATATAAAAAAAAAAAAAAAAAAAAAAAAATATGTATAAATTCCTCGTCTCAAGCTGTCTTTAAATCGCGATCCAGCGAGCGTGAATGCGTGAATGCCTTCCGCCCTCTTCATCTAACGAAAGTTTCCAGTTAGTACGACACCATCGCGGCACGTGCATTCGAGCTGCTACGTAGCGAAAACAACGTTTGGACATTCGAGATCGACGTTAATATGGATTTAACTTAAGGGGCTTGGAACATCATAAAATGAAAAAACATCGCTTCTTTTTTATTTATTTTTTTTATTCAAATTTAATCGATTCCGAACAATTCTACGCAAAGAAAATTGAATTTGGAGCACTAGAAGTGGTAAAAAATTTGGATCATATCCGGCCTAACCGTTTCTGAGAAGAGTGTACCTTTGTACCAAAAACCTAGGTTTCCGGAAGACGCAAGATATAAATATTATCTAATTGTATTACTTTTTATCAAAATCGATTGAAACACTGCCTTTTAGATAATTTACCGTCTTCTTTACCCTGAAATACAATACTCTATGGTTGTAACCAAGGTAACCGCGTCTCCGGTCTTCCGCAAATTTGAATGTCGTTTCTTTTTTCTCTTCGAAAAAGTCGTCGGTTGTATTTCCTTATATTTTTTACAGTTTTGTCGCGTTCTTTTTACTAAGTTCGTGTCGTCGAACTTTGTTTTTCGAGAAAAAAAAAAAATTTCTTTTACCACTTCTAGTGCTTCAAATTCAATTCTCTTTGCGTGGAATTGTTCAGAATCGCTTAAATTTTAATAAAAAAAAATAAAAAAAAAGTGTTTCTTTTTTCATTTTATGATGTTCCAAGCCCCTTAATTAACGGCGCATTGCTTTCGCGTAATTGTTCCTGTTCGTTACGAGACATCGAGAAAATCCGTTGTCGTGTTTGTACAGTCTCTAAATAACGGGTCTTTGATCGACGTTTAACAGTGAGAACCCGCAGTGACTAAGAATGCATGCTACATGGGAGTGTTGTGTTATTGTTTGCTTCGTTTCGAACCAGCATTTTACAGTCACTTCCATTCGCTAGCGTAACTTTTCTTCTCGTGGCGATTGCTACATCGATCGATACTTTTTCTATTAAAAAAAAAAAATTTGCCGGAACGCGATTCTATTACTAGCGACGAGAAAGCGTTCGCGACACGATTGTTAAACGACTGCAAGTATCGCGCTTTGTTTTCCAATCGCGATTTTTCAAACGCGATCGATCTTTCGCAAACAATCGTAGACATCGCAAGCTGAAATTCGTTACGTCCAGATTCTCATTGATAACCATCTGCCCGTATTGCATTCGAAGAAATTTAATTATCAATCAATAGTCCACATCCCGAAGATCATATCGGTCGAGCGATTAACGTTAAGCTTTTGTCGAATCGAATGGAAATGAAATTTGGAATCCACTTGAACGGCACGCACCTGTGGATGAAATTTATTTTATATTCAATAATGTGGAACGATCAGATCAAATTTCGTATTTTCAGTCAATAAGTTTCTCTATCGTTATCCTTGACCCGTTTTCTATTTGCGCTCTTGTAGAGTGCTACAGGTTTCCTGTCGATTAATGCAGATCGTTTCTCTACCAACTGGAAAAGCAATTAAAGTTTTTATAGATCTGCAGAAATGTATCTTCGAGCGCAGCAATGGTTTCACGCCAGGTGTTCTGTTACAAGTAATATTCGTCATTTGAAAATAGTTTTGTGCCTTCGTCGAAGACAGATCTCTTTACTAGAATTTCGTGAACCCAGCTAGTGTTACATTCCAACGTAGGTACGTGTTGTTTATTAACCACGAGAGAGGGACGCGATATGAAGCTTTGTTCTTGCGTCGGTATCGACAGTATCGCGAGACGCCTCTGTGCGCGAGGATACGCGAACCACCGTTTGAGACGACTTCTGTTCTTTTCTTTTTTGGGTGTAGCTTGTCACTCCTTCGTCATGACCTTTGTATGCAGCTCGCGTCGGTACAACAGGAACTGCATTACAAAGTGCAGAACCATATGAAACCAAGGTTCCAAGCAAAGACTGTCCGCGATCGAGTGCACGACGGCATAGTGTTTGTTTAAGCTTTGGCTGTAGACGAACAAATTACGGGAACGCGAGGAGTTTTCAGTGTAGGCGGTGGCCGCATTATTCAGTTACAGTGGTACACGCGGTTCCCATAGACAATAAATACAGTGAGTGTAGAAAATATTCGTACACCGGTCAATTTTTAAAAAAACATTTTGTGTGAAATTGTAGCTTCTTAACTTCTTTTATGTACCGGTTAATGTAATTCGTGAAGTTAACAAAAAAAAATGCGAAAAGTAGGTAAAAGTACAGAAGCAATAAGTATTTGTACGATTCTTATGACGAACCATTTACAGTAGAGTTTGTAACGTAAACACATTAGTTTATTGCCTCGTACGAATTAGAAAACATCAAATTTCCAGCAATGTACTTTTAAAAAAGACTCGAATAGAGGAATTGAAGAAGATTCCACTTCTTATTAACTCCTAACTAATAATTTAGTTAATTTAACGCTTAGAAGAGTTGCAATAATTATAAAATCAAAAGGAAATCCCTCGAAGGAAGTATTATATACATATAAATTAATGTAAATTTCTTAAAAATTAAACAGTTGTGCGAATACTTATTGCTTCAACATTTCTCGATCGATTAATTGCTTCTTTCTTGTTAATTTCGCAACTTACACGAATAGCTATCTTTTTGTTGTAATCTATCTGTTTCCGTACGGTGTCAGTTACGTAGGATCGATACAGTTTACTGCTTAGTGCTCGCTCCATCTCCTAATAAAGCATTTTCTTTCTTTCTTCAGTTCTCTCTTTCTTCTATTATTATTCACGTTTTTTGCCTAGCGTCGAACGTCTATTTGCAATGTAAATGCAACGAGAAGCGGACAGTAAGCGCGAATAACGTCTCGGAATTGTCTATTTTCGCTGCACGTGGGCAGAGTCGGACGTTATTCGTATCATTTCGAATAAATCCTCGTCTAGATAATCGTTTAGCGAAAATGTGTTTATTGGAACAATTAACGGGGACAGTCATCATTCGTTTTTTTCGCAGTCTGCTAAACTTCTACTCGAATAGAAGTTTTATCTACGTGAAGCATTCGTGACTCGCGTATAGAAGTTTACTTAGATCAAGCGTTATTCATTATTCGGTCGATAACAATGGGAAGTTTGTCGTTACCGACCGAGACGCGATTAAACTGTTGTATTTCACGGATGAAATATAGGATAAACAAGAAATTTCGCGTCAAAAGCGAGTATATGTACGTAAGCTTCCAAGGACCTTTGACCCAAAAATGTACGCTCGCGATACGACGGTTAAAAAACGCGATAACCAGTTCTTACGGGGACCGTGTTTCCGACGTTTTGTGTATCCCTTCTCTGGATTTATCAGGCTTTCACGCGCGTTTCGTTGTGTTTAGTGTTGATAAAATTCATCGGCCATTACAAAACGAAAGGGAAAACGGCGTAGCGGATACTCGAATGTGAGGGCCCAGAAGGAGATAAAGGGACAATGGGCACGAAAGTACTCATCGAGATGCAGCAGCAGTTAAGACACGCCATGTCTAGCTCGGATAACGCGCCGACTAGCACGAAAAAATTGGACGACACGGAGAACGTCGATAACTCAATATTTCTAGTCTTCGAGGATATTTCCTACAGTGCGCGACCATGGATCCTTTCCACAGGTAAGATATCGGCTGTATATACGAGTAATTGCGAATACTTTTAAGCGGATATTCATCATGTAGATTTCTTTTTAACTATGGAGAGATTCGATGTTGAGATCATGATCACGAATCGATGAAGTAAACTGTCAAATTTGTTTACGCGACGACCGAAATTACCGTACCAATGCAGTTAACAGAATATAATTAAGAATAATCAAGCGAATTAACTCAGTAGGTAACATCATACAATGCGTACGCGAGTATCGTGATTACTTTGAAAATTAAGTTCCGTATTGACTCTTAATCGCTTTCTAAAAATACCAACAGGCTTTTCGAAATATTTCCTGTACTGAGTACGCGATCAATTAGCTTGGTCGTTAGACATAATTAATAAACGGAGAGCTGGCTACGAAAATCAGGAATGATAAGGTGCAGCGAAAATTTGTATCTACAAAAAAAAAAAAAAAATGTTATAGTATAGCAAAAGTAAGTACAGATAATTACATTAATTATAATTTTGTTTTAAAACACCTTATCATTCCTGACTTTCGTAGCCAGCTCTTAGACTATATAACAGATTCTAGGGACAACCTTCCAGGGTACCAACATTGAACATTCAAACAAAACAAAGATCTCGATCGATTAGTATTATGGAAATTTCATGCATTTCAGCATTTCAATTGCTGCACGTGCCACGTGACTACATGTTGAAGGTTGTGTGCAATAAGAAGCGTACAACGCTAACGAATATCCGTATGAACGATGCTGTAATAAACATTATTCGATACGCTGCACGAGTAGCGCATACGTTTCGCATATATTTTTCATTTAACGAATTGAAAATATATCAGGGTGATAAAACGAAATTCAGTCAATAAGATTGACTTACTTAGCTATTATCTCTTAGAAAATAGCCATACGATTACGTGAAAATTAATTGCGTTCGTCTAAAGCTTAACACTAATTTTAAAGCAATCTGTACTCATCCTTGCTATGTTTCTTAACCTTCGCACACCGGCAACCAAATTTAGCATACACTTCTTCGCGACACGATCAACTACTGTAAATACAAGTGGAACATCATTTACGATTATCCTATCAAAGAGGCGTCCGCTCGTAATTGTAATGTACAGATGGTTACTGACTCGAATAACGAGTAGGTCGTCGGTGGTTAAAGTGTGCACTACAGATTGGCACAATGGCAAACGTTGAACTCGTCAATAACGATGCCGTCCTCGAAAATGCACTTAACTTATTATCTATCATTGTTCTCTCTCGTACGTGACATGTTTGAAGTTTGAATACAATTATTTCAGATTCGTAATGGCATAAGCACGAATCGAACGGTACAACGACATTTCGACTTGTCGAACAACACGTCGTACAAGTAATTTTTTTTTTTTTTTTTTTACGAAAAGTTAAACCCCTTCGCATTAGTGCATCAAACGTAGTTCATTTCGTACGTACACCAAACGTCCGTTCGTAACTTCTAATACGCTACGTGGTGATTAAATTTATGTTCGACAAAGTCCTATTCTATGGATACAATTGAGATATAAAAATTTATTGTAACCGCACAGGAAAAATTTCCAAGTGTTTGCGGTTAATTAACGTCTTGGAATAATGCAAGATAAGAGTTCTCGATTCTGAAGTTTGGCTGTTGCTTGAGAATTCATTGCGGAACTTATAAATAGACTGCCATGCACAATCGTGCCCGGTTTTGTCTGCGCGCAGACGTGTGTGCGTTGTCGCTCAAGCTCTTATGAGTTTATTAACCCTGAACCGTCGGTATGGCACGAGAATAAACATGGTTAATACTTCTTTAATAAGAAAAATACAATAGGCCTCGCTGTATCGTCCGTAGCAAATTCAATGAGACCTTTCTTGTTGTGTCGCGGTTAACGGTATAAGGAGCAATTCTTATCTCTGTTTCTCTATTGAGCTGTGTGCGTATGACAAAGTCCTTTGGTGAACGCGAATCGCCAGTTTTGCACAGTTTTGCACGTTGTGTGTCGACGGCATTCCATATTATAGGTCAGGATCCCCACTTTCCACTCGTGAGCGTCTGTTTCCTTATTTAACACGTTCACGTCGCTTGTAATTTCCACCGGTGGCTTGCGCTTGACTCATCGGGCGGCGCGTACCACCGGTGGCTCGCGCTTGTATGTCCCATCGGACGGCATGTACCACCGGTGGCTCGCGCTCGCGCGTCTATCAGACGGCGCGTGCCACTGCGCCGCCCCATGGCGAGAAACACAAATATCGAGCGCCGGTGTGTACCACCGATGACACACTAATATGTCCCATCGGGCGGCGTGGACCACCGGTGGCTCGCGCTCGCGCGTCAATCAAATAGGGTGTACCTCCGCGCCGTCCCGTGGCGAGAAACACAAACAGCAGCGCCGGCGTCAATGTGTTCGTGTCCATTTTTTAATTAGTGGGACGTCTAGAAACTTAGCAGAAGGCCATAGCTGAAAATCAATGGAGACCGTTATTCTGATATTTTACAGAATTTTATTATAAAAGACAGGGAAAAATGTTTGTTTAATTCCGTATAAAATTTCATAAAGAACAACAATTCAATCTCAATAAATTTGTTAAATATCGTTCATGAGATGCATTGTATTCATTTTCATACGCATGAAAAGTATCCAAAATATGCACGACAAATTTGAATGAAATGTATTATAGTATAATAAGTAATATATTAGTATGTTACAGAACATTCGCTATGTACACATATGTAAAATACTTTCACAATTATTCCGATGTATTATAATTCGCGTGACCAACAAATTACGAGCATTTTTTCCAAATTCAATGGTGTAGAATACTGTAGAAAATCCTACATTCTTTTCCAAAGTTCTTTTACATTTTTAAAAATATATCCAACATATTATTTAAACATAAATATGCAAAATAAAATGTGTATCTTTATAGTACTGTAATTACAAAACAAATTTCTGTCTACGTCCCATTCTTTTAATTGTTTCCTATAAAAATATGCGTTTGCATAAACTTCCGCAGTCTATTCGTAAATAAAACGCGTTTCCAAACACCGTAGAAGCGTAACGAAAATTAGGATCGCATGATCGTATCGAAAACAGGACGACGTAATACTACTTGCGCGAGGATGAATTATCACGAACCCTCATCAGTGGCTTGGTAATTAATAATCGAATAACAGGTTGCATAATTCTGCGTTCTCGATTCTTTGTGTACATACAAGTCGAGCCCTTCTTGATTCTCGATTGTTGTCCGTTGTTCGAACATGCACTGGTTCGTTTGGTAAAACGTCGACCTTCTCGGTGACCTGAATTTCTTTCAACAAATTATGGTTTACGAGGGGCACAGCTCTCTAGAAAACGTTCGCGTTGATGTCTGTTTCAGAAAAAGCGGAGTTGTTGAAAAATTTGAGCGGGGAATTCAGAGCTGGCGAACTCACGGCGATTATGGGCCTGTCTGGCGCTGGAAAGTCGACGCTAATGGACGTTTTGGCTGGTTTTACGTTAGTAAATGTTCCCACGTATATCGTCTACTATTTACAAAGTAGCTACTATCACCGTTTGCGACAAAACTTCATTCGTGGTTTTCATTTGCATATTAGTGCAAAGATAATATCCCTCGCTAAGTAAAATTTATTATTATTGCTGTTATTTGAACCGTTCATTCGGAAGTTGTAAGTTAGTTAGCGTTGTGTATTTCATAGAAACGTTGGATCTCCGCCAGATCGCAGATTCCCGATCGAAAATTCTTGACCCTCTGTGACACCCATAATCTTCGCTATTCAGCGAACTATGAGACGAGTTTATCAATTAATGACGTTGAACGAAATTCAAATTCCCCCTCTCCTGATCCTTCTGCCTCGTTCTCCATCGCTTCCCTCGCGTTCTTCTACGTGTAACTTTCGCTATATTTTTAACGCGTCGACCACCTAATTCTTGCATCTTAAATATCTGGCGTGTTTTTGTTTTTGCGATAGAAAAAAAAAAAACTGTCAAAGGAAACCATCTACGATATACTACGATAGACATGAAAAATATCTCAAGATCGTATTTTCCAAGATTTCGACGTCATTACCGCTTCTTTGAATGAGATATTATATTTTCATTATTGTAATCTCGTAGCTGATAAACAAAATCAAAGATATATAATGTGTCGAGAGTACGATTTAGTAAGAAGAATTCCTGGCAAGGTCATCTGAAGGTCAATTATATTATACACGTTTTCATTTTATCTTTTTAATTAAATACAACTTCTATTAAAAACACGGTATTTATGGTGCAAGAAGTCAAGTGATTCAACCTGTATACTTCATGAAGCGATAAACCGAGGTCCTGTGAACGTACGTATAGGTTAAGAGACACTCGATGATTCAATATACGAATCCAATTTGCATAATCTCTCAGATGACCGACGAAAATTATGAACGGGAACATGCTTTCGCCGGGTTTCAGAACGGCCGGCGTTACCGGGAACATAAGAGTCAATTCGAAGATCAGGAACGTCACCGAGTTTAGAAGATCGTCCGCGTATATAATGCAAAACGACAATTTGCAGCCACTGTTGACGGTCCAGGAAGCCATGAGGGTCGCGGCCGATCTTAAGCTTACCGTAAGCGACAGAGAGAAGAAGCAGAAGGTATTTTGTTGCTCTCGAAGATTAATTTATATCGGACTCCGCCACCCGCTGCTCAAAATAATTCTATTAAACACAAATATTCGGATTTGTAGAGATTGTAGATACAAAATAAGAAGCTCTCTCGCTTTCGAACGTTGACTCAACGCTCGAAGCACCGACTCGAGATCTCGTGAGCACTGCGATCTGGAAACGTGACGATTATTTTGAGCAGTGTACCGTCGCAATATTTTCCAATGCATCTCTGATGTCAGTGCCCCGATTTCAGATCGATCAGATTTTGGTCGCGATGAGCCTCGACACGTGCCGTCATACCCGTACAGGACAACTCAGCGGCGGAGAAAGGAAAAGACTCGCCATCGCGTTGGAATTGATCAACAGTCCGCCGATTATGTTCCTGGACGAGCCCACCAGGTAAATTCAGACGGTAGTTGTTACTTTATTAACTTGCTTCTTTTCTTGCAGCAATTTGCCGCATTGTGCCGGCCGTGTAAAGTCGTTTCTACGAGCTGCATATTCGTTAAGACGTTTAGAGTCTACGGCTGTGCTTAACTGGCTGGAATTCTCTTTGAAAGACGCGGAGAGAGTCCATTGACATCTGAAAATAAGATCGGAGAGACCGTTAGAAAGTTTTAAATAGAGAGTAACCAGTTGCGTTTCGATGTGTTATTTTCAGTCCGCATACCAGCCTTTTTTTTTTTTTGTTATATGTTAACATAGGCAGACTGTTGCGCCTGTCGATTGAACCAATTACATTTTCATACTTTGCACGCAGCGGATTGGACAGCGTCACGTCAAAGTATTGTATAACGTTGCTAAAGCAGTTGGCGAAGGCGGGACAGACGATAATTTGTTCGATTCATCAGCCGAGCGCGTCTCTTTTGAACATGATAGACCATATTTACGTGGTGGCGAACGGATTCTGCGTCTACAGCGGCAGCACGCAAAACTTAGTGCCCTATTTGAGCAACTTGGGCCTCCAGTGTCCGATGCATTACAATCCCGCCGACTACCGTGAGTAAATTACCGTACATTAATTACCGTACGTTAATTACTGTACGTTAAATAAAACAACAAAAGTATTTCAAGTTTAAGTCTTGCAATCAGGCGACGTGTATGCTTGTATCGAAACAGTCACAGTCACGCACATTCTGAAACAGATCATTTCTTTGCTTGCAGTAATGGAAATTTGCAATGGAGATTACGGTAAACACGTGTTGAGATTAGTAGACGCCATCGAGAATGGTAAAAATAATGCTTGGAGGTCGTCGAGCAACGTAACCACGGTCAATTGTCAAGAGGAAGTTATCGCTTTAAATGTAACAGCGTCGTTCCAAGCGCTCCGACGACGATCCCCGATGGGAAGTCCTCACAAAAAGTGCAAGGGCTCTTCAGAATATGCCGCCACCTTTTGGAAACAGATGGTCATTCTCCTCAAGAGAAACGCAATTAGGCTCTCTCGGGACAGGGTAAATGAAAAGTTTTCGGTCCTATGTTCGTAATCCAGAGGCAAACTATTGGTGGGTTGTCCAGAAAGTTCGTGGCAATTTTTAAGAAAAATTCAAAGGCACGTTTGAATTTTCATATATATTTATTGAATTATATAAGTATATACCATTTTGTTCCACGACCTTTCCATCTCTTAAGGGATGCACCCATGTTAATTGTTTTCAACCGTTCCAATACAAACAGACGTGTACCACCTACCAAAAATCGGCACGGACTTTCCGGACAAACTAATATTTATTGAATTATATAAATACTATTTTGTTCCACGACCTTTCCACCTCTTAAGGGAGGCACCCATGTTAATTGTTTTCAACCATTCCAATACAAACAGACGTGTACCACCAATCAAAAATTGGCACGGACTTTCCGGACAAACTAATATATTGAATCGAAATTTCTCCAATTTAATATCTTATGCGCCAATTAAAAAATATAACACCAGTTGTACATTTTACTCTGCACTATTGGCAGACATTCGTTCATATCAGTCCTGGATTAATTATATTAATCGGTTACTTTGGTGCGTAATATTCTTCGGCTTTCAAAATAATACTCCAAATATGACCAGATGTGCACGAAACACACATATGGCCAGATATATTCAACCAATGTTCAATCATTTATCTAAGAAATAACTCTTATCAATTTCTTCAGATTACGACGCGAGTTAAGCGGGTAATGTTGAGCTCGAATTAAGATTTATCGATTAGATAAATAGTAGCAGTAACGTTTATTTTACATTGTTTTAATAAAACACGAAATACGATTAAATACACGCTTCCTGTATTAATCGACTCTTGTCTCGTACTTAGTTTACTACGCGAGGTGGGCGAAAATAGATACCATTGATTAGTGACGCGTTAGTGTATTTCACACGGAAATGTAAAATAATAAAAACGCCAATTTCGTCTAGACAATCGCAAATCACGAATGGGAGGCTCGTTAAATGATTTAGAGAAAATTGTAGTTCGAAAATGATAAATGAATTTCTTATCAAATTCCGTCGAGTTACTCGAAGGACACCTAACGAATGATTAATGGTTTAGAACAAATCGTTCGTATGCCCTGTCGGGCGGGGAAAAACGATTTTAATGAAATAATAACTACTAAGACCACTTAAACAATTGACCTTGCCGAGAACTCGATACTTCGGTATGCTGTGCGGTGTCTAATAAATGCTCGTACTCCGAAGAATCTGCTGAATCCTATTTTAAAATGTATTAACATCGTCGTTGAATCGATAGGACAGAAACGAAAGAAAATATTGCCGTAGATACTTACGATCCTTTACCATAATAATTACACCCATTACAGAAAATATTATTGCATAAAATGTTCTGCAACGTTCACCTTCTGTCTTCCGCAGGTGTTGACTTTCACACGGCTCTCGATGCATTTTATAATTGCCCTGCTGGTGGGGACCATCTACTTCAAAATCGGACAAGACGCAGTGTACGTGCTGGATAATTTTAATCTTCTGTTCTTCAACATAATGTTTCTCATGTTCAGCGCATTCAGCGCGACGGTAACGACATGTAAGACTACTTTAATAACGGTGCATTGTCACGAACGGTAATTATTTAATATCTTTACCCTGCCGTTGAACGAGCAATTATTGTTATTTACAGTTCCCTCGGAGCTACCAATCATCACGCGCGAGCACTTCAATCGTTGGTACAAATTACACTCTTTTTACCTTGCCAATAAACTGGCCGACTTGCCGATTCAATTCGCTGCCATTTCCATGTACATTCTCATAGTGTATTACATGAGCGATCAACTGTTGGAACTTCGACGATTTTGTCTGTACACGTTGATGTGCTTCGCCATTAGCATGGTCGCGCAAACGTTTGGCCTTTTAGTCGGAACTGGAATGAAAGTTCAGGTTTGTTGGCGCAAATAAAAACTATTAAAGAATAATTCTTCCATTGAAGGGCAATTCTTTCGTCAAAGACCTTTTATCATGTCATTGAGACTCTACTTTGGTCGTTTCTTCTTTCAGCACGGAATGATCTTCGGCCCACTTACGATTCTTCCGTTCTTAATATTCAGTGGATTCTTTGTCCAATTCAGGGACGCGCATCCGTACCTACGCTGGCTGTTCCACTTGTCGTTTCTTAAATACGGATTCGAGGGTGTAATGGTCGCCATGTACGGGTAAGTCACGAACTTTTCACAAATAAATACGACGCAAGAAATTAATTTCTATTTTCGTTAATTCACTCGCTATGAAACTTTCTTGTTATTTCAGCTACAATAGACCAAAGCTTTCGTGTTCGGACGTTTATTGCCATTTCGCTGTGCCAGAGAAGCTCCTAAGCGCTGTGGGCATGAAGCAAGCCGACTATTGGTTTTGCATGATCGTTTTAACGTGTCTGTACCTGGTATTAGACATAGGAGCGTTTGCGTTATTGAAACTAAAGCTTGAGAAACGGTTGTAAGGATTAAAAAAAGAAAAAAGGGACGGAATTATTAAGTGAGATTCAGCGAACCAAGATTTTTCACAATTGATTCGTGTTCCGAGTGCAAATAGAACAGTATAAATGAATTATCGTGAAAGACTGACTTGCTTTTAAAACATTTTGTGTAATAGGAGATGAAAATTTTATAAAGACTGTTTGCCGAATAGGGGAAAAAAATGAAAATAATAATCGTTGCATTTATTGCAGTACGTTAAGAATGGAAGAAAAGCAACGGCTATATATTATTCGTGATGCACGATGATTCTGTAGGCGTGCTTGTGTTCGCACTAGGCGCTCTGAGGCATAAATAAAAACTTTCTTATCTCGAGATAGCGGTATCGTGGATCAATGATATACTTCCGATGCTGTGTTTCATTGTACACGATAAGAGTCAAGTTCATTTTTTTTTCATTTCTTTTTTTTTTTTATAAATTACGTTCACAGAAACTACCGAGAGAAGTGACGCCTTCTAGAATATAATTAGTTGTATCTTTTGTACATCACGTATTTACGTTAATAAATCTAAGGTATACATATGTGAATAAAGAAGCGAATGTACTATACACGCCACCGTTGTAAGTCAAATTAACCGATGACTGCTTTGTTTATTCAAAGATTGATCATTACACGACAAGGGTAGTATTAAATCAATTTCGAGACACACGCCGTATCAATCTACTCGTTTTTATTATTTCGTCAGAATTTAGAATGTAAGTTTTATCAAACGTTTACCAGATTTTATAGAAAATTTCATTTTCGTAGAAGAATCGCTCGATAGAAATTCATCGTTATTTTGTTCTTTTATTGCTTCATATATTAAGGATCGAAAGTTATACGCGATTCGTTGGAATAATCTTACATAAAATAATCTTAAATCGATAAGTTAAGTCCAAGGAGAAATATTTTCTTAATAGTATCAAGGTTTCAAACATCGGAACATCGAGTATAGTCGTAACTTTAAAAGGTACAATGTACAAAGTCAACAGATTTTACTCGTCAGAAGTTTATGCATGGAATTTTAAAAGTGCAAATGCACGTGTTTGTAACCGTGACAAATAAAAATATGTCGGCATATTTTGATTAATTAGTCTAAGATATATTAAGATATATTAAGGAAATCTATGCTGCCCTTGCTAACATGCTTAGATCGATATCGAACGGTTTCTCTTTCTTCTTTTTGAATGGAGAAAAAATTGATTATGTTAAATAGCATTGATTGCACGTTATGCAAATTCGTAATTGCGTATTTTGTACGTTTATAGTGTACGTTAGTGTGGGAAGCATATACAGAATATATTATATAAAACAAACATAACAATTAATATTATATTAATATATAATTTTGTGTAAGTACGTGTATACCGTATACGTGTAGCGTACGCTTTGAACGACTGAAATCGATGCCCTGTTAATTAAAATGAAACATATTCCGTGTGAGATTACAAATGCGCAGCTTGTTATTCAAAATAAGCGATATCCGAATTGAATAAAATTAGAAAATAATGAAACGATTGAATTGTGAAATTCAGAAGATTTTTCCTCATTGAGGCAATAAGTCACCCCTTTATCTCGATTCGCTTCAAATCTGAAGAGAAACGGCGATTGTTTCTGTATCGTCTGTCTACATAATACTCGAGACGAGCAAAGCTTGTTTAAATAAAAATGTTGTATAACGAACGGAAGATAAGCAATCTTTGATTCGATATTTGGTTTCGCAAAGAATAAACGATACGGTATAACAATTCGATCGAATAAATGTTTTTTACGAAGAACAACTATGTAACAGATTAATACATCGCAACGATCTGATATAAATTTCAAATGAAATAAACGTCAAGAGAAAATTGCTGTAGCCTGTCTCTGTTACATATTCGCGAAATCTGGATGGTTTCTCGTCGGTTTTGCAAGAGGTTTCATCGTGGGACGACCAGCCGGGAATCAAAGTTGACTCACAGCCGACGCAGCGAGACGCGATATGAAAAACGAAAAACTCGCGTAACCGAGCGTGGACTCTGTAGCACTCTGTAGACGCTCACTTAATCGGCAGTTGTTGCTACGAATTCATGCGCGTCGCGTCGTACCACGAAGGATTCGGCGCTGAACGAATAATCCACGCGACCAAGTGAACAATAATGCTTGAGCAAAGTGCAAGCGTCGAATCTGCCGAAGAATCATGCTTTGGACTGCCGCGTGATTTACTTACGACTATAAGTAAATAGTTTACATCGCGTCGCATAGACTACTAGGATTCGCTCAACAGGTTCTCGCATATTTCTCCTCGGTCAGTGAATCTCCCACGAAACTAGAAACATCCGTAGCACTTGCGATCGTTTCTCGCTATTCCAGAGATTACCGAAATTTTTATCTGCTCGAAAATTTCGAATATCGAACGAAAGATAATCACAATCTTCTATCGTGAAGTTATATCGTAAAGTTAAGTTCAGGTCGAGCGAATAACTTCGGTATGATGGAATAAACGCAGCGACGATTTTCATTCTTCCCTTCGCTTGGAAACTGTTTGAACTGTCGACTAATGCCGCGGAAACCCAGTTTGTTTACATACGATAGTGTTCTTTACCTGTTGAAAAGAGGGGGTCATTTTTGATTGACGGTAACACTTTTTATCTTGAATAAACATTTTTATCTAAGTTTTATGTTAGTACCTCAAAATAGATTTTCTAGGTACATCTTCTTCTTCGCGTATTACCAGTTTTCTA